CGGCGCAAGAGGGGCCTGCAGGTGATGGGCGACCGGAGACCGGAAGGGCCGGAGAGGCGGTGCGGAAGGGCGGAGGGGAAGGGGCGCGCCGAGCGAGCCGAGTGACACAGCAACCCTAACAAGCACACCGGAATTCATCATCGGCGTCACCCCGCCATGACGCAATCTGTGTGCGTCGCGACTGCTGAGCCCGGGGCGAGGCCGAGGTTCGCAACGCTCCTGCGCTGTGGACTCCTGGCAAAGGATATAAAGGTCGCTGGCCCTTCGTTTCGTCGCTGCACGCAGTACCCTTCTCTAATTCCTTCCCTTTGGATCCGCCATGTAACTGTTTAATTCCGGGCTGGGACTACATATCCCACAGTGCCGCGCGCCCAGGTGGCGGGGTGGAGGGCGGTGTGAGAGGCCGGCGCGCCGAATCCGGGTATTTTAAATCTGGACTCCCCTTGTAACGCGCTGCGGGCGTGTTGATTGAAGTGTTTCTTATCTTCATTTGGGATTGTTCACCTTGTTTTCTTTAAACCTTCTTTGCCTAGTTTTCTAGGATTTTTTTTTTCCCAAGCTAAATGTTGTGTTTAAATTAAAACGAGAAAATTTGAGACCAGGTTGGGAACTTCCTTTCAAGTTATCCCAGGCTCTTTGCTCCTCACCGTCTTACTTAGCAAATAAATGCTGTAGCCCGTTGCTTCAAATTGGGCCTCCTTTCACCTAGGTTGGTAAAGTAGGAATAGGGAGGAGTGAAGAATACATATTTTTAGCCAAATCCCCGTGGTGCTTTTGTCACACAACATTGACCGTGATATATACAACTCGTCCTTTTTAATTTCCCTTCTACTCTGTTAGATCATATCCAACTTCACTTGGCCCCAAACTCTTCTAAAGTGCCAAGCCCAATTTACAGTTTTCTTTTAAAAAAAAAATTTTATTAGTACATGTGTGGTGGATTAACTAATAGTCAAATTGTAACGCCCAGTTGAACTGAATCAGCGTGGTCTGGGCATGGAGGATCCACCAGAGGATTGCTACCAATAGCCATAAAAAGAGAACTGGAAGGGGAGATCTTGGCCTATTGATTTTCCAGGAAAGGCTTGATGTGGATGGTTTTCCTGATGTAAACTAGGCTGTTCTCCTAGGGGGAGGAGCTCAGCACAGCTGGGAATGGCTGCTGTTTTCATCAGGGAAGCCCTGATCTTTACAGTGAGCATCACTTCCTGGCTCCAATGTGGATCCCTCATCCTGTCGGCACAGATCCTTCGTCGCACTGGCATAGGTTTTCTGGCCTCCACCACTGGGCTTTGGACTGTCCAGATCGTCAATATGGACAAGCATGAGACATTCCTGTGGGCTCTAGGCCACCGGCTGGACTCGAGGACATTGTCTTGGACCCTAAACCTTTAGCTGGACTTGTGTGGGAAACTGCTGGGATCTAGGTCCTCAGTTGAATGTTTTGGACTGCTAGTGTGTGGTTAATCTCCTGCACTCCTTTGCATTTGGGTAATTATCATAAAATAACTTTATAAGTTGTCCTGTGTTTAATGTATTCCCTTTCCCAATCCTGCTGATTACAACAGCATGTCTGAAGTACATAATGATTACTTCACTTTTTCCTTCTTAAAAATCTCAGTCATGGGCCAGGAATGTAGCTCAGTGGCGCCACAACTACCTGGCAAGCAAGTGCAAGGTCCTCAGTTCCATCCCTGGTACAACAAAGAAAGAGAAAAAGAGAGAGAGGGAAGAAGGGAGAAAGGGATCTCAGGTTTGGGATCACTGCTCCCCTGATTTCTGTTTCTATTATCTGAGTTGGGCCCCAAAATATTGTCATTTAAATATCTCTTCTGCCCTTATTCCCACTCCCTATGTGGACTGTTCACTACTTTATTTCTAATGCTGGATCCCCAGTTTGGTATTTACAAACTCTAGCTCCATACCTCTGGCTTTCTACTGGAAATTTCTACCTAACTTAAGAGTATCTAGTGGTCTCTTGCATAAATTATTTCAACATTCTCTAGCCTTTCTGCCACTGCTCCCCAGCTAAGCCTACACATTAACATAGGATCCTTACCATGACTATGCGTGTGTTATTGGGTATTGATCCCAGGAACTTCACACTATGTACATTCCTAGCCCCTTCTAATTTTATTATTTTGAGGCAGGGTCTTGCTGATCATTAAATTACCCAGCCTGGGCTTGAAATTTTGATTTTCCTGCCTCAGCTCCCTACAATGCTGGGATTACAAGTGTGTGGAATAAAGCAGGATTTAAAGAAAAACAAGTTCTTCTCAGCCTTGGGCAGCCGCCTCCCACCCTCATCCCCCACCCTGTCACCTCTCCTCAGCTGTAACTCCTTGTACTGCTAGAGATAAAATTGGCAGCAATGTCCTATAAACTAAGTCTATGTCATCTTGTTCTCAAGAGATTCACAGGACTCTGTTCTTTCAAGGCTGTTACAAGACAGTCTGCCCTTGTTCTGGTAAACTTACTTGTTACATCACTAAAAAGAGCTCCCCCTCAAAAAAATATATAAAGACAAAAACATTTCCTTCACCAGAACTCAGTGTTTTAGACAGGAGTCCAAGTGAGTCAAGGAGCACCTAATAAATCCTGATTCCCATTGATCTCTCCTGTCTCTCAAATTTGTGCAAAAGGATCACATCCAGAAGATTATCCTTGTAAGAAACAGATCTAGTTATGTTAGTCCTCTTTTCCATAATCTCTGATAGCTTTCCAGTCTTGAAGTACATCAGGATACAAAGCCTCTCACATCACCTTAATGTTTTATTAGATTCCTCTTTTTGGTACCTCCATTATGTCAGTTATATTGAATTTCTCTGAATACATCATGTTCATGTAGCTCCTTGGACATGTATTTTCTCTCTTTTTAAAAATCTGTAATGCTTTCTCTGTAATATTTCAGCCAGTATTTATCATTTGTACCCTTCAAGTTCCTGAGACCAATACAATATTAACCTGTCTCCAATATAGGATTTGTTGCATTCTAACACATTCATGTATTTTTTCCTACCAAACTAAGTTTCATTTAGAACTTTTCATTCTTCTTGAATTTTACACATCTAGTTTACTGCTTTTTTGTATGACAGAACCTCAGTTGATGATCTCCCAGTTTATAGAGTACTTATTTCACTTATAGAGCAATTTTCACAGTCTATCATTTAGGGTTTACAGTAACCCAGCAAGCTAGGTCATGTTATTATGTCCATTTCACACATAATTTGTTGTCTTTTTTTTTTTTTGTACAGGAATCAAACTCGGGACCTTGCACTCATGAGGCAGGCAGCAGCACCACTGAGCTAAATCCTCAGCTCAGAATTTTACTTCTTTTAAAAATTTAAGTTGGCATTGGAATAGGAAAAGACTTTATGAACAAATCCTCAGTAGCATGGGAACTAGCACAAAGAATCAACAACTGGGATCTCATCTGATTACAAAGATTCTGTACTGCAAAAGAAACCATCAACAGAACTATAAGACAACCTACAATGTGGGAAAAAAATTTTTACCAGCTGCTCCTCAGACAAAGGACTATTATCTAGAATATATAAGAACTCAAAAAAAATCAGCCCCCAAAATATAAAGACCCAATTCAAAAATGGGCATCTGAAATGAACAGACATTTCTCAGACAAAGAAATAAAAGCAGTCCTTAAATTTGTGAAAAAATGTTCATCATCACTGGTCATTCGAGAGATGCAGATGAAAACAACACTGAGATTCCACCTCACCCCACAAATAATGGCTGCTATCAAGAAATCAACCAATAACAAATGTTGGCGGGAATGTGGGGAGAAAGGAACCCTTCTCCATTGTTGGTAGGAGTGCAGACTGGTGCAACCACTACGGAAATCAATATGGAGATGCCTCAAAGTGCTGGGACTAGAGGTTCCATTGGACCCAGCCATCCCTCTACCAGGTATCTTTCCAAAATAATTAAAAGAATCATATCACAGTGATATATGCACACCTATGTTTATAGTGGCATAGTTTATAATAGTTAAAACTTGGAAATAGCCCATTTGCCGATCAGTTGGAGACTGGATAAAGAAGATGCTGTTTTTCTATAAAATGGAATACTATTCAGCCATAAAGAATGAGAAATTAGAGTCATTCATAAGAATATGGATACATATTGAGGATATACTCCTAAGTGAAATAAATAAGTCACACATGTATAAATACCAAATAGTTTCTCTGGTGTGAAAAACTATAATGGTACATAAGATCCTAATAATATAATTAACAATGTAAAATAGGAAGAAAGGGGCTAAAGGTGTAGGAAAAGTGGGAAGGGTAGGGGAAAGGTAATAAGGGAAAAGAAAAAGATAGGAGAAAATGAAAAAATGGAAATAAAGAGTTTGTAAATGGGGAGGGGAGGAGGGGGTGAAGGGAGGGCAGGGATAAGGGGAAAAAATGAGAACCAGGACCTGTCACGTAAAGGTACAAGATCCCAGTGATGAATGTAACTGTACTGTATACCTAAAATGTACCAATAAACTCAATGAGAAAAAAATTTAAGTTGGGTACAATGGTGCATGCCTATAATCCCAGCACTGGATAGTCTGAGGGAAGAAAGTCCAAGTTTGAGGCCAGTCTGTATTACATAGTAGGACCTTATCTAAGAGAGAGATGGGGGGGAGGGAGAGAGAGAGAGAGAAGAAAGAGGAGGACAAAGGAGAAGAAGAAAGG